CAATAAGGCAACTGGTCTGGTCAGGGCACACGACTGAGATCAAGCAAGACAGTAAAACCGCTGGTTATAAACATCATCCAAGTTTGAATATATTTATTAAAATAATAATAAAACAAAAAGCTTTCAAGCTGATGGATACGGTTCTTCACAAAACAGAATTGTAAAGGAAAAAGATACTTCATGTTCACTTATTTGTAATAATTTTCACATTCGAACAGCAGCATGTGAACGGAATTTTAAAATGCAAACATTGCTACTGTATCACAAACTATTTAATAACTGCGATAGGACATTTGCTCAAGAGTCATTTAATAAAGACGTTTTAATTATAAACCATCTTAACTAGGGGTGGAACGGTTCAACTTACTCACGGTTCGGCTTGTATCACGGTTTTAGAGTCACGTTTCGCTATGTGCTATGTTTAGGCAAAATCTATACTGTCAAATAAAAATCAAGAAAATAAGAAGAATCTATCTTACTACAAGCAACAGCACAAACAAATACAACAGAGTAAAGATATAAATAAAATAAAGAGTGATTTTCAGTTTAGGTAGGTCTACCTTTTTTTTTTTTAGGTAGGTCTAACATTAGTTTTTAGGTACAGAAATTTAATAATGTAATGAAATGTAAAACAGCATTGCATTTTTGACTGTATAAATTAAAGATGAATCTTTATTAAAGTTACAAAAGCTATTCAATCAAGAGCAGTGAGTGATTTCTTTGTTGTTGCCTTTCAATTAATATTAAGAAAGTGCTGTCACTTTAAGAGAATGCACTGATCCAGTACGTTCAGCCGGCTATGTCTGCTATAGGATACTTACCAAGACGGGCATTTTGACAATTTTTGTGTGAATTTGTCCATTTAAACAATACTTCAGAGAGAGCTTAATATTTGCGTGCGTTCCAAGGCACGGGTTTGCCCGATTCGGACGCACAAATCTTCTCACTGCGAGCGTGCGCTCACGTCCTCTGGCTCTTAAATGTGTTTAGCTTAAACACAGATATCAACACGCTATCAGCACCCGGTTGATGACGGAATAAATGCTCATATTCCAGCATACGGCATTCGCATTGAACAAGAGTGAATGGTTTGTCCACGTTTTTAATTTTTTTCCATAGCTGTTGTTGTAATGTATTGGGAAGCCAGAATGCGCATCCATCAACAGAAAGATACATTAGTCGAACCCTGTTTGTTTTACGTGTTATTTATAGCAAACCATATTACAGATGCATTGCCAGATTTAAGTTGAACCGCGGTCCTAGCGCGTGCCGAGCCTTGTGTGGAGAACCGTGCGGTTTGATTTTTTTTCTAATTCTTCAACGTATAATAGAAAGAATGGATAATTGTTCAGTACTTTTTGTAGCTGGCAAAAGAAAAGTATTTAATAGGGCCTTTCGCACCACTTTAGTTCCAGAACTAAATGTACAGTACTAAAGTACTGGGACGATTTTGCACGAACTATTTCCCAGTACCATTTTAAAGGGTTGCATTCGCACCGACAGGGTGTACTAAGAAGTAACGTAAGCCGGTGGACAGCGAGGTCATTTGTGCGCGGCGTTCAACAACAGAAACAAAGAAGAACAATGTTAACAACAGGAGGATGGAGGACGCTGTGATAGCAGCTGTGTTTTTATTGTGTCTCGCGGGTTTCACAATAATGGACATGGAAAGTCGACGTATACGTAAAGCGATTGAAAGAACGGAAAGGAGGACTAAGAATCTCCAACGACAACTGGCAGTGCTACATTTGCTACAAGTGCCTGCACTTCAGCGTCCATCCATCTATCGCTGTTCTCCATACTTGCGAAATAAGTTGACACAATGTTTACAGTATGTTTGCACGGCGTTTTAAATCATGGTGGGTGAGGGCGTTCTCGTACGCGTTTGGCCAATCAGTGTCTACTTGCGTCACAATTAGTACCAGTTGTGCTGGTTAGACCCTGCTCCAGAGTAGGAGCTAATTTGGTTCTCGAAAAAGGCAGTCCGGTACTAAAATTGCACCCAGTTCCGGCGGTGCGAACATGCCGAAAAGTGGGTAGTTCCACAAATAGTTCTGGTACTATGAAAAGGTTCCCGCGGTGCGAAAGGCCCTATTTCTAGAAATGAGTAGAAAGAAAAAAAACCAAAACAAAGTGTACCTTTCAATGGCGACACCCCAGACTGCTCCATCTGCCACCCGGTGTGACTGACCACATGTTACGATGCTCTTGGATCTTCTGGAAGACATTTCCATTCCTCCTCTTCTCCTTTTTGTATTTTTTCATTTTCTTTACCTGTTCAAGAGGAAAGAGATTAAATGACTTAATATATAGGTCTAACACTAAAATATACACTATATATACATATATATATATACACATACACACACACACACACATATATATATTAAGTCAAGAAACAGAGCTTAAAATACTGCTGATATTACTTTATTATTAAATACAGTATTCCAGACAGTGTGCTGTGCACATACTGCAAAAATAGCACAAGTAGTAAACTATTCCGACTGACTAGTAGAAACTTAAATGCAACCGCAGTCACTACCAGTCCACATGAATAACCTAGAGTAAGCAATGCATAAAAGTAAATGACAGTCCTCACTTTTCCACTGTCAAACTCCGTGTCCCACTCATCAATGACGGTCTCATTTTGGGCATAGCGTGCATCCTCTGCAGCATCTCTGCTAATGGCCGACAGATCTCCTTCCCAACTGAGGACTGTTGAATGAAATTATTCAAGACGCTGTCAATATTTCAGAATTCAAGCATAGGTGTGGTTGAGAACTTTAAGAGCTTTTGAAGTCATATGGTTAATCTTAATTCACTTTTCCTGTGCTTCATATAAAAAGTACATAGGAAGTATGCATACAATTTAAAATGTAAGAATTCAACTACCAATTGTTTTCTGTTTTTCCATCATTCATTTTTCCCCAGTATAGTTCTGAACACAAAAACAGGCCATTTAAAATGAATCACAACAGAAACAGAAATTGTCCGTTTTCATTTGAAATGCCTAACACAGAAGTTTAAGAACTACTTGTAACAGTTCTCCAATTCTCAGGGAAACGGAGAGGTCTCGCGCACAAGGTTTAGTTGACATATGACTGAAAACTCACCCTCAGTTCCATAAGCTTTATTTGAGGAGTTCTTGAGGAGCTCCTCGACTACATTGCAGCTTTTCTTGCCATCCCAGCCCATAGGAGCAGAGCATGGGCCTTTTCTCGATGTGCCCTCTGCTTCTCGATGGTTCTGGTCGCACTTGTAGCCGTCTCGAACCTGGCTGTCCCAAACGATCACGGCAGCTGTAACAGAAAACCGCAAATGTTTAACTCTTCTGTTTTAAGTTTAACAATAGTTATGGATGATGCCCTTTAAGCAAATGCACCTCCCCATTATTCTTTAAAATACTAAACCAGTGGTCTCAAACTCAATTCTTGGAGGGCCACAGCTCAAATCACACCTGCTTGGAAGTTTCTAGCAATCCTGAAGACTTTGATTAGCTGGATCAGGTGTGTTTGATTAGGGTTGGAGCAAAACTGTGCAGAGCTGTGGCCTTACAGGAATTGAGTTTGAGATTAATGTACTAAACAAAGAAAAATAACATGTCTATGAAGTCAACAACAGAATATATAATAACATCTGTGCTGGGATTACCAGATTTCTGCTTGCTCGCATTGCCTATCTGACTAGATGTTATATCAATTTTATGAAAAACAAACAAAAAAAAGCAGCACTGTATTGATATTCCTCAAATACTGTTTTAGGGGTTAATCAAGATAGTAAAGCGATGGTTCACTCAAAATGCCTGAACATTTTAATAATCATTAACTAATGTCTTTCCGAACCTGTATGATTTTCCCTCTTGAGAAAGAAATGAGGGACACTGCAATTTTACTCTAAATATCGCTTAAATATCAGATTGTATAAATCAAAGCAATGGCTTTTAAGTGTGGCGTTAAAGAATGTCACTATGTACTGCCACTGCACTGAATTTACCCATATTAACAAATGTTTATTAACACAAATCAAATAGATTTGAAACAACATGAGGGTGAGCAAATAATGACAATTTTAATTTGTGTGAACTATTCCATTACAATATTTAACTTCTGTAATTACTGTAACTTCGATCAAACATTGCGTACAGACTCCAAACAAACATCATTTTATAGATAAATTTCAGTCATTTTTGGAATTTTTTATTTTGATCTAATTCACACTATTAACACCAACTTATCTCACTAACTATTAACAACGACTATTCGCACTATTAACAAAACTCCTAATTTGCTGCTTATGAATAGTTAGTAAAGTAGTTGTTAAGTTTAGGTATGGGGTAGAGTAAGGGTATCTAAAATATTGTCATGCAGAATAAGTCATTAATATGTGCTTTGTAGGTACTAATAAACAGTCAGTATACTAGTAATATCCATTCTAATAAGCATTAGTGAGAATCTGACCCTAAACTAAAGCGTTACCATTATTTTTTCCGTTATTTGTAAAAAAAACAAAAAACAACACACACACACACGATTAAAGTCAGCATGAAATGAAAATTCACACTATTTTGATCTTACAGTGAACAATTCATCCTTGCACGTTTAATGTTTTTTTTTTTTACCTCAATTTATCAAAACATCATAATACTTTGATAATCTGTTACATTCTGATGTACATCACAATATGGAAGAAAAGATCTGTCGCTACTTCTACTGCATTATGACTTTAATGCAAGTTAGTGGGAGTTTTTCAGACTTTCATCTTAAAGTCAGCATGAAATGGAAATTGTAACCTACTTTTTTTTCTAGTGTGATGTAGGGAAGCACGATATATCGGCCACCATATCGGTATCGGCCGATAAATATGAATTTTAATGTTATCATTATCGAACCGATAAGAAAAGTTTGCCGATATACTTCAGCCGATAAATAATGTATTATTTCCTGCAGAGACACTTCAGATGCACACTGTTCTCCATGATGGTATTTATTTGCTTGAAATATTATTAGAATCACTTTGAAAAGTTAAATCCAGTGAAGTGCAACATGTGCAGGGCAAGGCTGTCATAATATAATGAGAACATTACTGTTAAATAATGTTATAGAATCTTTGTGTGCCCGTGTTTAAGCACGTTGTTACGGGAAGAGCGCATTCACAACGGAGCTGCACCTTCATGACCAGCACAGTTAAGTTCTTTTGTGCATTTGCAGCCTTTTGTGCAATTGCACATTGTAATATTGTGTTTATTTTATGCATATTGGTCTAATTTATCACATATAGAATGCATTTGGTTAAGCTAGAACGCTTCAGTTTACCGGTGATCATCTTAGCTCAGCGCATGCAGCTCAATCAGCAGCGCACAACATTAATAACTAGGACTATCATATATATATATATATATATATATATATAAAAAACAATGAAAACACTATCATAATAAAATGTTGTGAATTCTTTGGTTTAATTTGCCGTGTTTCAGCGCGTTGTTGCGGGAAGAGCGCATCCACAACAGAAGTTACACATTCTGATTAGCACGTAACTTAATTCGAGTTCACTTGTGCATTTGCGTCTTGTTGTAAAATTTTGTTTATGTTGTATAAATATCTGATTAATCTAATATATGATGCATTTCCTTGAGTTAAATAAGCTGCCAGCAAAGCACTTCAGTTCACCAGTGTTCATTCAGCTCTTCAGCTTCAGTGCACACAGCGTGAACAGCAGTGCATAACATTAATAACTAGTATAACTGGGAATGTCATATGCATAACATTATAAAAAGAATATTACCGCAATAAAAGTTGTGAATTATTTGGGTTTATTTGCCTTGTTTCAGCGAGTTGTTACGGGAAGAAGAGCGCATCGAGTTACACATATGACTAGCACGTAACTTGGTTCAAGATCACTTGTGCATTTGCGTCTTTTTATGCATATACGAGTTATAATATTATGTTTATGTTGTATAAATATCTGATTCTCATATAGCATAATTAACCCACTAATAAAGCGCTTCAGTTTACCGGTGTTCATTCAGCTCTTCAGCAACAGCACACGCAGCTTAAACAGAAATGCTGCTATTTGAAACTATCGTATTATTTAAGATACTTCTTTTTCAAAATCATTGATATATTATTAATAATAACAACTACCACTTTTATTTTTTTATCTTATTATTTTCATCAACAATATGGTTTAATTAAAAATGTCATTATTGTCGGTGCAGAGTCTATTCTGTTTAATTTATCCATGGTACATGATTTTTGATTTATTTACCCGCAAGTAATGTTATCTAGGGACTTGTTTGCATTATTTTTGTAAGGCTGCTTTATGTTTGATTTATGTTGAAGTGTTTAATGGCGAGACGTTTTTTGTAATCAGGCTCTCAAAAATTATATAAAAATGTGGATTTATCGACCAACATATCGATTATCGGCTTTCATATATAAAGAATTATCGGTATCTGTCAAACTTTTCATATCGGTGCATCCCTAGTGTGATGTATAGCTGAGTGAAATTTTTGGGTGATCTATCCCTTTAATCTTTTTGATTAAGATTATAGTGATGTGCATGAATAAACTCAATCCTAACTGAAATGGTCATTCCTGATATAAAAGCATTCAGAAGACTCAATTCATGACTACTTTCAACATACAATACAGTAATTAGGGATGCGCTGATACCACTTTTTTCAGAACGAGTCCGATACTTTCATTTTTTGGTACTCGCCGATACCGATACCTGTATTTTCACAGCATTTGTTTTTTTATATTGGGTACAGAAACAAAATAATAATAATAATAATAATAATAACAAATCATGTTAGTTGGCTTCATTTAGCAAACAGATATTACCTTCAGTTATTTCCACACTTAATTATACCTGTTAAAATGTATTGTATAAGCTTTTGTTACTTTCACTGTTCATTTTAATGGCGCATTAGACCTGCTCCATTGCAGCAGCTCAATACTGTAATCACAAAATGTTTTCCTAAAATAATGCAGGGAACCACGCGTTATACATTATACGAATGCACGTGTACTATTTTGGTGATTTCATTTGTGTCACGCGCAGAGTACACGGACCCTCGTGTATGAGTAAAAACCGAAGTATACTTCGGCCTTAAAGCAAGCTAAACATATGCAGCGCGCACACGTTTGTATTGGTGCAGAATGAGAGAGACACTTACTGCCTAGCGCATTTCACACAGTCTGCTAGTTTCACTTCTGCTTTAAATAAAGTTATGTATGCTTGGCTTTTAAAATAAATGCTGTTTATAGTGAATGCCCCTATAATTTTTGTTTGTTTTATATTTACGATTTAGTTTTAATCCAAATGCATGTGCTAATGGAGCGAACAGCAATCAAGATCATGCAACAGAAGTGCGCGCTCTCGGACTCTCTCTCTTTCGCTCGCTCTCTCTCTCTCGCTCTCCTTACCGTCAAATAACTTTAGTAACTTGTGCATCGTTTTACTTACTTGCTTTTGACATATCCGACCGAACTACAAACTTTCCAGTGATGTCTGTGAGATATTCATTCGACAAGCTCGCGCATCTGTGCAGCCGCACGCTCAATCCACTCAGTGCGCTCTGCTTATCAGCTCGGGCACATCCGCAATACAGGCGTCAATATTGAATGTTTAACATTATATTAATTACTTACATGTACTTCATAGACATCCTTAATCTCTAATAACTCCATTCTACTCTCTGTTGTTCTGTTTTCAGGGTTTCTTTTTCTGCACACAGCTCTATTCAGACGCTGTTTGGTATCAGGGCATTTTTACGAGTACGAGTACAGGAGCGCAGTATCGGACCCGATACCAGTATTGGTGCATCCCTAACAGCAATGACTCTAATGAACAAATATACATCACACACACACAACTATCATCATCAATGCTTTTCAGTTCTGAATTCACTATATTTATAAGCATTTCTTTTACAACTTTCCACAATGATTTCTGGGGTTTTCTTGTCAGTGAACGACAATCATTGCTGCCTTAGAATTCAGCTAAATATTTTAAGAGCTGCCCACCTTCTGCAACAGCCTTTGTAGCATTAAAACAGAACCTCAGCTCACTAGATTTTTAGCAGGGAAACGTGGGATGTGCACAGGCGAAAGCAAGCAAGATGTGTGCCGAGTGTCACGACAACAGCAAAGCAGCTCTGATGTAGCACACCGACCCAAAGCCTAAACTTAAATTTACCATTAATCACAAAGTTGTGTTTGTGTACAACTTAATAGACTATACTCCTATTCCTAACAGCCTTCAGTCACATCAAATCAAATATAAATATCAAATATGTTCTACTGAAATCAATTGGATTGTGAAAAGCACATCTATTTTGACAAATGGTTGAAGGCTTGGTGATTTCACCCGAAACGGAAAGTTAAAATTCAACCGAATCTGCTCTCACTTTCAGAGCGAGTGAGTACCTGTGGTGCGGGTGGGTGGAGTCCCGGCTGAGAAGGTGTGAGGGGTCACTGGACAGATGATGAGATGAAGGGGGCGGAGCCTCAGTGCTGCTGCTCGGAATCTGCCGGGGACTGGCCTGCAGTTATTGACATAAATAAAAACTTTGTGGTCTAAAAAAATATAAAATAAAATGTAAAAAAAAACAGCCATGAAACGTGACAATGACAAAGGGACCCATATGGGAAGAAATCATCAAGCCCAAAAAAAAAAAAAAAAAAAAAAAAAAAAAGTAGGAAGGGGGAAGGAAAAAAGAAAGTGTAGCAGAGAAGAATTAGAAGTTGTTAGAAATAAAAAAGAAAAAAATAAAATAAATTTTTAAAAAGAACAGCAGTGCAGACTGCGAACCCACAAAACAGATATAAGCTGAAAGACGTAAACGTATTATTATTGTATTATTACTGGCCAGTGAGAGCAACATGTCAAGGCTCCAGATTTTAAGAAAATACTTTTTCAACAACCGTACATCGACAAGGAATGAAGTGGACAAACATGGGAAGGCAAACACACAGACGGACTTAAAAACCACCAGCAGATGAAACAAGGGTGGATGGAGCTGGTAGACTGACCTTCTTGGCAGACAGGGCGAGTCGTTTGGCGGGCGGGGGGGACATGGTGCTGACGGGCTCTGATGAGACATTGGTGAGGGCCTGGGGTTTCAGTTTCACCATCTTCTGCTCCTCTGAGTTCACACGCTCTGTGCTCTTAGCTGGAGATGCTGGACTGTTCACACTAGACATGTTGCCAACAGGTGCGCTCCTCGTGCCAATAGACTCCTGAAAGAAAACAAAAAAGACATCTGCGATTAACATCAAACTAAAAAAATATTAATCACAATGTTTATCAGGTTATATTAAATTGATATTTATCACAATATTTATGTACAATGGGGAAGGAAATGCTTTCCACATGTTTGTTAAGCCTTGAGAATGAATATAAACGTAACTCGTTTGTTCACAATTAAACTCCATGGAGTAGCTACCTTTTAATTTAGGGCCCCATGAAATCAATTTTTTCCCCTAAATTCTGTATTTTCCATTTTATTTTTTCCTAGATTCTGTGTTTTATTATCAAAAGTGGTGTCCAATTAAACAAATAATACTTTTTAAAAATGAAATCAAATGAACACAGCATTCCATTTTAATTTATTTGTTTCAAATAAGACACTACACAACAGAACTGGATTAATGGAATTAAAACATGGATGAAAAATATTCTTTGGTTATATGATATTCCTTATACATATTATTACTACTTTGAGAAGTACATTGTAGCATAGAGGAGTAATATAGTTACGTCATAATTTCTTCAAGTTAAACCAAACTTATTTTGGAGGTTTGTATTGTGTATTTGGCGGTTGCAGTATATATTTGATGATAGTCTCCTTAAACAAAAGGTTAAAAAGCTTGTGAAGTGACTCTCAGAGAAGCTACTACACACATACTGAAACGCAAGTGATGCTTGCGGTGTTTTCAGACTCTGCCACCTCAATATATGAGTACATTTCCAATCTCTAGAACTGCTCCGAGAGTCACTTAATGAGCATTTTACCGTTTCCTTTGAGAAAATCTATCATCATAGCAAACAGAAACCAAAAGGTCTTCAAAACAACCCGTCAAAATAAAAGTTCAGTTTAACTTGAAGAAACTATGACAGAAATATTACCTAATGTAATGATAGTACTACTACTACTAATAAAATAATTAAAACATTATTTTAAAGGAATATTTACCAGAATTTATTTAACAGAATTATTTAGCAGTATTTCTGAAAAATAGATAAAATAAAACTACTTTTTAAATAAAATCTATTAATTAGAGATGCTTTTGATTATTAATATTTAAAGAAACATTTAAAATGGAATCCAGAAAATTAATGGAAAACATAAAAAAATAAAACTGAATTTGAAAAAAATACGGAATCCTGAAAAATTAAAACAGAAAAAACAGAATTTGGAAAAACATTAAATGGAATTTGGGATTAAAAACAGACTTTGCAGGGCCCTAACTTCCAACCCATTGTACTTTAATAATGTGAATATTCAATGAATATTTAGAGTTAACTAAAAGGGAAACATCTTCAGACTTGAATTTGGTATTCAGAGATTTTCTATTTAAAGAAATAAACCATGTCACCATTAACCAAAACTCTTGTACGACTGTCACTTTTCTTGACAAAATCCACCACTTAAACAGCACATACAAGTCTATGGAGACTTACTTTAGACTCAGAGGAGGTGTCTGCTGAGGAGCTGTCAGACAGGGATTTGAGTGAGGTAGATGATGGCAGGCCGCGGCCCTCGCTGTTGCTCCTCTTGTCGGTGTCGGGTTTGGGGAGGCCGTTGGATGGAGCAGGAGTGCTGCTGCGGGACTGAGGCTGAGGTATGGGCTTCTTCACTTTCTTAAAGGGCTCCTCGATCAGTGTGGGTCCACTGGGTGGCTTGGGCGGGGCATGGGAGTTCCCTGTACCATTAGACATCTTCGGCGATTGGACCCCTGAACAGTTTCTGGCTACTGGAATACCAAGACCCCCATCCACAGACTGGATTTTCCTCAGCTGAGCGGGATCAAGCTTCTGAAAGGAAAAATAAGAGGTTTTGAACAAATGTGATGTTATGCAGGGGTAGCCTCTTTTGACTCTTTAAATCACTAGACATGATTATGATGTAATTTCTAGAATATAAGTCTGAAATGTGCTGTGACTTCTATTCCAAAGAGACTTGGCGTCGTATATACATGAGCCCATAAGTTTGAATTAAGCCATAAATTGGGTTTGCATTGTTTTGGGAGCTGCCCCACCTAATTTTCCCACAATTTAAATGCTTTTCTACCAGTTAGTCCACATTGAATTTCTTATTTCTCTTCCCAAAATCTCACCCTCAGACCTTGCAGGTGATTTATTTATACAAATGTTTATTTACCACCTTTCTATCACTTTTAATCCCTATATTCACATCTTTTAATGTGGTAAAGTAGAAAAACACTGCATATCAGACATTTTTGTGTGTCAAATTAACAGAAATAATGTTTTTCAAAAAACATCTCATGGGTTTCAGATTTTAACTCTCCTCACATTTCACACTTTCCTACCTTCGTAACCTGTGGTGAAGACAAAGGTCCATTGAGTGTGCTCCTCTTCAGCTGCTCCGGTGTCATATTTGTTCTCCCAGAGTGTACTATGTTCTGCTTTGTATTTGAAGCATCTGTATTTTTCTTTTCAGGGATCCTGCCACAGAAAAGATGTGATTGTAAAAATGAGGCATCTCTACTGGCCACTGCAATATGAAGAGTAGATGAAACAACATGAATATTACCTCAGGTAAAAGAGGACATATGCCTGCTGATTAAGGACAACCTTGATATTACTGGAATGCACCATTGAGTCATTCATCTGGTACCACTGTCCATTACTGGCCTATGAAAGGATATTTGCATTAGAATATTAGCCATAGTAATTAAGCATGAAAAAGACAACAAAGTAAAAACTTTTTCCTACAATGCTCCTTTAAAGTTCTCTCATCAAGCTCATTGTGTCTCTTACTGGTTCCTTGATCTTTGGATCTTTTTTTGCGTTAACTGGGGACTTCTGAGATTACATCCTTCTATCAAAGGTTTTTATGCTCACCATATTAAAATGCCAACATAATCCACAACATAGTGGTTTTGAGTCTACATTAGGGCTGTGCAATTAATTGCATGCGATTGTCATGCGCATCTCGTCAGTAAAGCCGGTTCCGTGATTAGTAGTAAATCTCTATCACCTGCTTTCAGAAGGAGCGGCATTTAATACACAGAGCCGTAGTTCACTGACAATTAGGCAATATCGCGTTCATTATCGCAGATCGAATCGCTTGCGATAATGAACTCGATATTGCATAGCTTGTCAGTGAACTATGGCTCTGTGTATTAAATGCCACTCCATCTGAAAGCAGGTGATGGAGATTTACTACCAATCACGGAACCGGCTTTACTGACAAGATGTGCATGACAATCGCATGCAATTAATTGCACAGCCCTAATCTACATTGAGCTTTTCTAATTTGCGTTGGTGGGGAAAGAAAGATTTGGAAAAGAAATGGTGGTAAGTTGCCACAGACAATAGTGAAATGTACAACTATTATACAAAAGACTTGAGCTGAATGCTGTGACTGGCCAATCAGAATCAAGTATTCCAGAGAGTAGTGACCAATTTACCTAACTTTAAGCCCCTCCCCTCAAACGCTGATGAGCCAATGGCAGACGAGTATCAGTTGCATGGGGAGCGGAACTCGGACATCTGTAGGTTTCAGCGCCATAGAAACGATGCAAGCTTTGGATCTTCCAATGGGGTTTATGCTTCAAAAATTGAAAAACTATGTGCCTGGGGTAACCATGATCCCAGGTATCCTGAGAGAATAGGCAATGGAATTTATTTTATTCTATTTCCTAAACCCTTTTAGTCTGTTTTACCACAAAGGAAATTAATCGTGGTTTTCATGGTATTTGTCAATGGAATACACTGCCTCACTAAACCATGGTACCACCACAGTACTTGTTGAAAATCCCAATGAATGGTCTCATCTTACAATATTTTCTGCTAAACACTTTTTTTACTTGGGAATATACTACAGAAAATAAAATGATCTAAAATGAATAAATAAATGGGTTTTATTGAAAAGCCATCACATGGCGCTCACCTTGACGTAGCAGTAGTAGTGTCCAGCATGGCAGCTGTACCCTGAATGCACAAGGACAGCATAGAGGCCATACATCACTGGATCGCCTGTGTTCTGGGACATGTACGGGCGAATGTTCAGGAACTCTGGGTAGCCAACGTCCTAACAGAAAACCATCAGTCAGCAGGTTGATCACAGAACAAAGGCCCGTCTGTGTGTCACTGGCATGTATAGGATGATACCTTGGTAATTTTTCCTCCACTGAAGTTGGCGAACCGTTTAAGTGATAGCGTCAGCACATTTGATGTTCTGTGAACTGTGAACCTCTTCGTCGCTGGAACCTTCTTTTTACATCTAAAGCAAGAAAAGACTATGATGAACAGCTGTGGCTCTTGAGATGCAAACACGCTTCTGAGTGGTTGCTTACTGAATCAAGAACGCGAGTGGCCTGTGTTTTGATGGTATTGAATAGGGATGTAACGATTTGTAACTCACGATTTGATTCACGATTTTCTTTTTAACAAAACGAGATTTAAGACAAATTATTAAATAAATGTGTCCTTTTATTATTGCTTGGACAAAATACTCTGTTTTTGTGTACAGTATTTTGAAATAAAACACTATAATAATATAGCACTTAGTAAATTATTGCTCTTTTGTTGGTTTTGATTGCTTCTATTGTCCTCATTTGTTAGTCGCTTTGGATAAAAGCATTTGCTAAATAACAAAATTTAAATATGTAAATGTAAATAACAAAACTAAACTGAAATTTTAAACCAAGCCCCAAATCAAATAAATAAGTAACACAAATAAAAGAAATCTCTTCAAATAAACAAACTAAGGCTTTTTGTCTGTGCTCTTTCCACTTAAAATGAGAGGCAACCACTGCATTTAAATCATGATCCAAACAAAGACACAGTTTTAAATCTAATTTACATTGTATAATTTCTAAATTTAAAGCAAAAACAGAATGGTCTGACTTCCGATTTGTGAAACTATGCATAAAAAATATCTGCATGAAACCGAAACGGCAGACGAGCTGAACGAGACGCAGATTCACTCTCTGCCAGCAGGTGGCGCTTAAAGCGTTTCCTTGGTTTCCGCTGTCCAATTAAACACACCTGAACCAGCTAATCAAGCACTTATAGGCATTCTAGACACTTACCAGCAGGTGTGTTGAGGCAAGTTGGAGCTAAACTCTGCAGGACACCTGCCCTCCAGGACCGAGTTTGGGCACCCCTGGGATAGAGAAAAGGAAAAGTGATGTGCTAAACAGAAACGACACTCCCAAGAGTATCGGGAACACAATCTCATGACTCAACACTTAGTCACACGCTACCACAGTAGTCATCAGCAGCACTTCCTGTAACCAGTACGTCATCTCTTTTAGCTTCTAAAGCCATTTGGAAGTGCCGCATGTTTGCTTGAACAAACTTGGTTCAGCTGTTAGAGGAAGCTCTTACTTTTCAGATCTCGGATGAACGATACAGGTTTGATGGCATTGCCTGTGTTGGCAAAGGCTTGGATGATATGGTTCTGCATTACACAAATCATGCAGAAACCAGATTGGTGACCTGAAGGAGACAAAAGGGAGATCAGCATTCATTATGAATTCCAGACTTGAAATGGCACAAACCAGCTACCTCTACAAAAGTCAGCAATTTTAAAATCATGTATACTCTAAACCAGTGGTTCTCAATCAGGGTGAGACACTAGGAGTTCTTAGAAAAGTTCAAAGAAGAATGGCTTCAGATTATATAAACTAACACAAAAAAAAGCTTTAAAATAAGCCAAAATAGCTAAAAATCAGGGCATGTGTCATGATTTAATTAGCTGTTCTTTCAATAGCGGTAATTTTTATTTAAAACCCAGGCCTTCCCACAAGTCTTTGGAAACCAGGTTATAATAAACAGGTTAAACAAGCAGGTGAACACAATTTTCAACATTCTTAAAAGTCTCTTTAAGGAATTTAGCGTAAATATGCACAGCCACCTGAATAACAACACATGCAGTTTAATAGCACAGACATTTCAAGGTAAGTGCAGCCTCGCTGAGCACTAAGTTTTATCAAGTTAGGCACGTGCAACTGCAGGCTTTCAATACACTGTTCAAGCATTCACATTCAAATATTTACTGAAGCTCTTGCTCACAGGATCGGCTGTGCTCCTTTGAGAGCAGGTAGTTGGCCAGTGGCGGGGTGTAGGTGAGACACTGCACAGTGGAGTTGAGGAAGCAGGTGTTGCCCAGGTTGTGGAGGCCGGCTCCAACCCGATACACCCGTTCCCACTTCATGGATAGCTTGTTTCCAAGAAAGAGCATCTTCTGCGGAGCAGGGATTCCATCGCTCTGCCCGACGCTCAAGCTCTCTGAAACTGTCGCAAAAGACGAGACCAGTTTATTAAGAAAGAAATACCCATGTTGGCATTATAAATCATTTAACGGCTGAATATCAAAACTATGCGCACATGGGATTCATTGTGGATCATGGATCATTAGTAAATTGTGGTAACTAGTGCCGTCAAAATTAGCAATAATTAAATTAAAAATATAAGTTTAATAATTAAAAATATTTAACGCGGGACGGGGCTAGGGTTGACCACCCTATGCGAGGCGTATTTGAAGTTTCAGCGCGAGAGCGCCCTCTGGCCTTCGGATGGAGATTTACTGCTGATCACAGAACCGTGCTTCACTGAAAGATACGAATCGCGATTTATCGCCTTTGCAATTTAATTTCAATTAATCGTGCAGCCCTAGATTTCAGTCACGAAAAAAATATTTACTGTTAAATATTACTACTGTTTTACCCTGAATATTGTTTGTTTGCTTTTTTTTTAAAACGATGCCAACTTTTTTGGCAATTTTGAAAGAAACAAAACATATTTAAGATGGATTTTTTTCTCAAATTCTTAAACTAAATATGAATTAACTTGTTTAAAAATATTTTCAAGGTCTTTGCAATTTAATTTCAATTAATCGTGCAGCCCTAGATTTCAGTCACGAAAAAATTATTTACTGTTAAATATTACTACTGTTTTACCCTGAATATTGTTTGTTTGCTTTTTTTTTTAAAACGATGCCAACTTTTTTGGCAATTTTGAAAGAAACAAAACATATTTAAGATGGATTTTTTTCTCAAATTCTTAAACTAAATATGAATTAACTTGTTTAAAAATATTTTCAAGGGTTTTAAAAGAATAAAACTTTTTCCAAAGGAGCAGCAATACAAGAATCTAATAACATTTTTAGCTTAAATCTAATGATTGCTAAAACCTCTCTGTTAATTTAATGATGTTTATGAAAATACAACTCCTTATTAACAATTATAAACTAAAATGAAAAACATCCCTGAGAAATGTACTGAAACAGTGGGCCTGAGGTCTGTGTTGGAGATCTTACTTTGTCTCTTAATCTGAGCAGGTTCAGTCGGTCTCTGTGCCGCAGCTCCGTCATTTTTGGGATTCAGGATCACATATTTTGTCTTGAGGGTCTCCAGCTGGTAGCTGAAGCCTTTGCTGGCAGGTTCAAACTCGATCTTCTGCAGAAGCACTTTCTTGGCGGATGAAGCCAGCAACTTGTTCAGGTCGCCCTCATCGCTGGAGTCCTTGCGGCCCGGCTTCAGGGCCTCTTTGAGCTTGTCCACTATCGGCATTATGTGTCACTGAATAAAAACAGATTAAAGAACAAAAATTTGAGAAACTGCTCCATTATTAAAGCATTAATTTTCAAACATGTACTTGATTAGCTAGAAGCTTTAGCATCACTTTTCAGTTCTTCAAAACAAACATGCAGTTAATCCAGAACAACAAACCTGACATATTCAACCCGCTCATTCAAGTTCATGCCAATATATCATGAAACTCATCTGGCAAACCGTGCAAGACGTAATTGAAAACAAGAGCCTGTACATCCGCTCAAACCAATCAAGACACCAGGAACAACAGAAAGTGTCAGTCAGCCACAAACCGCAAAGCTTACACATGCCTTGACAGATAATGTTTTGTTTGTCGTTTCTCCGATCACAAATTCAGACATGGTTTTATGTTTACGCGGCGCGATGCAACGCGTAAAAAGACAGTATAAGCTATAATCAGTAATTATGTCCCCATTGGATGCAAGCAACAAATGCCTCGTTTGTAATGGGTTTTATTGGTTTCGTCTCGTCGTGCCGGGACACGGCATTATATGGTAAGGGGCGTAACATTTCCGTCACACGCTTGAGGTATTTGGCCAATCACAACACACTGGATAGCTCGCTTTTCAGACTGATGAGCTTTGTAAAAATCGACACGTTTCAGAAAGGCATAGAGGAGAAACAATAATGTACAGTATGTGGAAAATAATGTGTTTTTTAACCTTAAACCGCATAAACACATTTCATTACACCAAGTACACAAAATAATGTTCTTTTTTAGCAATGTCGTATGACCCCTTTAAAAGAGAACTGACAACATATAAAACAACAAGCTCTGTGCCTCAATATCAATCATAACCAGTTTCATTAGAAATAATCACAAAGCATCTCTTTTAGGTGGCTGTAATTTGTCATACAAAGTCGCAATAGATCTTCAGAAAAAAATATAAGATGCACACTTTAGTGGAACAGTAAGGCTGAGTTGGGTCCTGCATGGGCTTACTCATCAGGTCTAGTGCTGACGTACAGAGCTGAGGAGCAGCAAGCAGGCTGCACATGCATCAGAGCCACAAGGGCAGACTAACCTTCATGTGCGCTTGCGATTAATGGTGACACAGCCGTGCACTAGCTGCGGTCAGCTGAATGCAGTGATGTAACAACCTGCGCCTGTGTGCACCAAGACATTCATCTCTTCACTCTACTGCCTATATATATATATTTAACAGCAGATTAATTACACAGAGCATGAACAAAGATTGTACTAATATTATCCCCATTTATTCAATTGGGCTCAAGGAAACTATAGTGAAACCTCGATTCCAGAGAAAAATGATAAATTTCAGGTTTCAATGCTAGAATGATTGATGATAACTTACAAGAGCATAACAAAAAGCATCATGACTATAAAGAACACGAACATACAAATGGACAATTAACGCGTATATGTCAAGAACATCAAGAGAATGAGGAGAATCAATGCAATTAATATTTAATAATGTAGCTTGTAAATCATTCGGGATTTAAACACACACACACAAACACAAAGCACACTCCGTTTCTAGCCTTTCCTCAACATGCCACCCTTCAAAAAGTGTCCCCCTATTTTGCTAACATTATTCATATATGGACAATAATTAAATATCCGTCCCTGCAGTAGGGAGTCGTTCACAATCTGTATGCACAATAAAAAGCCACTTCAATTGCTGACAAATTATATTAGACATCTAAAAGCTGTGTTTCCTAAAATGGGCTAATTTTCTGTTTTATGAAGTATCCTTTATGACCGATTACATCAGAAGAGAGAATAATCTGGTACCACTAGTTCGGATTCAAAACAGCTGATAGCAAACATACAACGTGATTGTTTAAATATTCTCAAGTCAGTATTCGGCCTGTCGCAATAATCAATATATCGACTTATCGCGCAATATATGTACTTGCTACTTTGCACTTTTTGTTAGAAAATGTTTATTTACTATCTATTCAGGTTTTTTAAGGTATCTAATATTTTGATACTTAATTTCCATGATCTAAATATTCTTAAATTCTTAAAGTTTGTTGTCATTTGGAAGTGTGTAGGCCTTCTTGCATTATTATGCGGTTACATTATGATTATATATTCAGTGGCATAAAATGGTCTTTAAAATGACAATAATATCGTTTATCGCAATTATTTCTGGGGCAATATATCGCACAACAAAAAGTTGTTATCGTGACAGGCCTAGTCAGTATACAGAAATCTATTACAAGACAAATATTTATCAGTAATATTTTACTGGGGGGGTATTCCCTGGTAAAAAGACCTAGTGATGCCCTTGCTCCAAACTCCATTATTTTGTTTTCTATATGACAAGAAATCCACATTAAAATGACTTTACACCACAATTACTGACTGATTACTACCATAGTTTATGTTTTGCTGGGGCAGTTTAGCCACGGTTGTCTTAAACCCAATAAATTATCATTTACACCCACGGATCTACAATAGAAAGCTTATTTATATGCATTAATTTATATAGCTCAAACTAGTTTACAAAGGTTTGACAGGAAACAGTAACTATAAAACTGGCCCAGTAAAACGACATGTTTCACACACAAGAACTGCCTTTAAAACGCAAGACTGCACTAAAACAATAGAATAAAACTGCATTTTTATGCCATTAATTTAAAAAAAAGGTAATTCTTGCGGCTTTGTATCAACTTGTATTATAAAACTTAGCCTAATAACATTACATTATTGGCATACTGAGAGATTTATCCCAAAAATGTTGAATTATCCATACATCAATGGTACAGTATTTCGCTGAGGTAATGTCTAAAGTGGATTTCCGGTAGGGATGGGCGTATCGATCCTAAGTATCGATATATCGATACTGACGCGAGTATCGATACTCAAACTAAAAATATCGATACTAAGGTGCGTTTTATTTACCAGTGATTTTGTTTATTTAAAATGATAATAATAATGCGTACAAATGCATTGAATTGGACGAATAACCTTTGTTCGCAAGTAATTATGTAGGATAAAACTATTTTCCTGCTCATCTGAACACACACAAATGTTGCGAGACAGAACCAATCAATCACAGAGAGCGTTCACTCACTTCTAAAAGTGCATTCGAACAGGGCTGCGTTTCCCAAAAGTATCATAAGAAAGTATTAAAGATTTTGGGAACGGCAGCCCTGAACAATGCTTATCGGGCTTCCAGCTTCCATCTAGTTTATTAAAATTAATAAACTTACCGTTTCTCTGTGTGTTCAGTTTATATTTTCTCTAATCGTGTTTCAGTAACTTCCATTACATGCACGTGCAGCCCGCGCCAAATTTACTTTATTTATTTATAAAGTAAATATGATATTACAAAAGCACCTCCCTCAAACTGTGTGTAAACTATAGCTCGGAGTGCATCAGCAAATCACAATTGACACTTAATATACAATATGTGTTGTCGCTTTACAGTGCATTTATTGGAGATTGCTACAATGCAGGTGCATTCAGAAACATGTGATGATCAAGGACATCATGATGACAGCTTATGAATAACCCTAATGTAATTTTGGGTTGAACCTATAAGTGTTCGGTTAACAGCTCGGGTTGCACAGCACATTTACTGTCACTGTAGCGACGGTGTTTTGCGTCGCTAAGGTTAGTTAGATCCCATATGAGCTGCTAGTCACAAGCTAACATGCTACTTTAGCATCCGCTTTAGCGTAAACACTGCTGTTTTCAGCGCCAGCGTTCACCGTTTCTGCACGTTTGGGCATTCAACGTTAAATGTAGCGACAATTATCGCGGTCGGCTGGATGTTTAAGGCAGATATAACGTTATAACAGATTGACTTCTTGAGCTGAGCCTCACAAAGCGAACGTGGCGTTCGTGTACGTTACTGCTGCAATGTGCTGCTAACCCTCAAAACAGGCGTTTTCTGAAGAAACACCACAAATTCTTCCGTCACTCGCCTCCAAACGCGTGCGAATAAGACCATATACGTACCCATCCGTGAAAGACCGCGAGTCGTTTGATCTGCTCTGATGTTAAGACTATATTCCGCTACGAAGCCTTCATTTTGTTACGTTCTCTGCCCCATGCTGCATTATAAAAGGGCGTGTACACGCGTGATTGACGTGACGCAGCGGCCAATCAGCTTTGAGAACGGCTCTCTCGTTCATAGCTCCAGTGTCCAATCAGAGGAGGCAAGTCTGACTTTTAACATGGACCCTGTCGATTCATGCGTTGTTTACTCGCCGAGTATGCGGACTGACTGAAGGCTGCCTTATGTGCTGGCAGAGATTTATAAACTGGGGGTCCGTGGACACCGAAGGGGTCGCTAGAGGGCGCTGGAAAATAGAAGATTCATAAGGTTATGATGTGAAAAACGCAGAGGCGGACAAAGTACACAACTCCATTACTTTACCCCTGGCCCTGTATGTTTGTTGTTGTTGTTGTTTTTTTGTTTCATTTTGTTTTGTATATTTTTGTATACTTGTTGCTAATCCTAATAAAGGAAGAAGAAGAAAAAACTTCTGGAAGGACGTGGAAAAAAAAAAAACTCAACTCCATTTTACTTAAAGGGGTCATATGATGCGATTTCAATTGTTCCTTTCTCTTTGGAGTGTTACAAGCTCTTGGTGCATAAAGAAGATCTGTAAAGTTGCAAAGACTAAAGTCTCAAATCCAAAGAGATATTCTTTATAAAAGTTAAGAGTCAGCCACGCCTACCTAAAACGGCTCGTTCTAACACGCCCCCACATATCTACATCACTATGTGGGAAGATTTGCATAACGCCGCCCAAATGTTCACGCAAAGAAAGAAGGCGTGGCTTTTATTCTCACTGTAGTTGTGTACGTAATACAATACCTCTGAAGCAACTTACACTACATTACACCTGCTGAATACACTGACTAGCTTGTAGTATCTTTGGAATAAAGAGCTTTTGCATATATTTTGTGGACACATTCAAAGAAGATAGTTTTGATATAAATTAGAAAATCCTGTATATATTACAAAATACATACATCGTAAGATGGATGGATAGATGGATGGAAAGATGGATGGATGGATGGATAGATGGAAGATGGATGGATAGATGGAAAGATGGAAAGATGGATGGATGGATGGATGGGTGGATGGATGGATGGATAGATAG